AAAAAAAAAAAAAAAAAAGAGTTAGGAGCAACCCATCTGAATGCTGCTTTCACTCTGGTACCTTGAAGAGACCTTGCGCCTTTCTAAAACCCAATAAGGACCGTATACAGAGGAACACTCCAGAAAGCGATGCTAGTCTCTAGGAAAAGCAAATAGGCTCTTTGACAATCTTTTCAAAACCAGACCTAGAAATCAACCCCTTTTACCCAGTTTCAATTTTCATAAGTAGGGCTTTGTGTGTTCTTGTTTTTAAACGAACAAACATGTCTCGTCACGCAGTGCGAGCAGAACTCGTGAAGAGCAAAACCAAAGTTTTTGATGTTAGTTTTATTTTTGTAAGGCAGGGTAGAACCAGGGCCCACATGGAACACACAGGCCGCCGGTCATCTGCCACACGAGCCTGGGAGAAGATAAGGAAGGTCTGCCTGTCCGGCCGCGTTCTGAAAAGCCCTGAAATGCACAGGAGAGCCCCGGAGAGAGGCCTCCTTCTCTTCAGGATGGCCGCCTTTTAGAAAGGGTTAAGGGAATTGCCACGTGTCAGGGTCAGGAGAAACTTCCAGGGGCTGGTGGATGCGGGAGGAACTCAGACCGCAGGGGCTTTTGGACAGCACGAAGAACTCTACATGTGCTGTCCAAAGCACTGAAAGACAGGCCCCAGGGCTCTTGGGTGACTGTCCCAGCGCTTGGACATTTGGGGGTGGGCTCTGGGGAAGCAGAGGAATGATTTCCGGGTGTGTGTGGGGGGGTTCACGTCTGGGGATTTGGGACTTATCGCTGAAATCACTTGTTCAAAGCGCGACTTCAGAGCCGGACCACCTCCTCGTAGGTTGACTTTTGATTTTTTACATAAACTACATCTGGTCCTTCTTAGGAAGTTTCACGCTGTCCGATAACATGATTAAATGGGAAGAGGCCACCAAGATCCATTTAATAGGTGAAAAGCAATTTTAAAAAATAGGATAGGATGAATTTAACCTGGGATGATATGCCCTTCTGGGGAACGTTTTACAGAGAGCTCACATAATGTAATTGGGGAGAATTTTGTCTTCTGTGTCCATTCATCAGTAGCAAACCGGTGGTTTTATAAAGTTAACATTATAGTATGTTATATAAATAAACACGTTATATGAAATAAAAGTATGTTGAACTGTGCAAAAGTGAAGACTTGGAGTTATCAGCAACCTTTATGTGCACTTAAGGAAAACTGCAGTTAGGCCCCCAAAGTGCTACCTTACCCTAGCATTTTACTTCACGTTCGCCTTTGTGTATATGTTTAGATTGATATTGTAAAGCTAGCTACATGTTTTCCTGCCGTTGACTGATATTTAACACATTTTTTCCCAAAGCTTTTTTTTTTTTTTTTTTTACAAAACTCAAAATAAAGAGATTAACTGGCTGAGCTAATCTTTTGCATTTTAAAATACCGTCTGTTTGTTAGTAGGAGGAAGAATGCAGTGCGATCCTTTTCTTAGTCTGTTTCTTTCCCTCACTGGGAGGTGTTTTCTCTGGGTGGAAACTGTTGCTCTCCAGCTCCCCTAGACCCAGGACCCACAAATTAAGGCTAGCTAGCCCCTCCGGACCAAATCCGGCACAGCACCTATTTTTGTAAATAAAGTTTTATTGGAATACACTAGGCTCCTTCATTTGCATAATGTCTGCGACAGCTTTCGTGCAGAGCTGAGTAGTTGTGACAGGAGTGAGCAGCAATGTGCGCGTAAAGCCTGGACCATCTGACTTTCTACAGCAAAGGATTTTGCCAAACCCTGCTTTAGGTGCTTGAAAAACTTGAGTTTCAAAATAGGGTCTAAAAATCACAGTAGCAGACTTCTGAGATTATTTAAATGTGCCTTGGGATTAAGAGAAACACTTTAAATCTGGTCTGTGTGGTAACTTCTGGCCTACAACAGTGGTGAACAGACTTTGAGTGTTGGATAGTTGCTAAGATTCTTGAACTCAATACAGTTTCCTTGATCGTCTTCATGAATTCCTTTGTAGGCAGACTGGCTTTTCCCCGAACCACGCAACTGAACTTCATCAAAAAACCATCCTAGCAAAACAAAACGAATCTTGTCATTAACATTGACTCCGGAGTCCTTTAATAGTATAATTACAAAAACACCAGACAGAAGAACTTGCAAGTGAAAATTCGTGTCAGCTCGTTAGGGCTCTCCCACCCCAGGGAGAGAAACCACTTCTTAAAAATTGGTTTAGGGGCAGGTGTAGGGGGAGCTCTTTGAAAAAGAGCTGAATGAGTCCGGTTTAAACTAGTGGCACTCAGACCTCTTATTTAATATTATGTAATCAAGGTACACGGGACTGCACTTGGCCCTCAGTCACACTGATGATTTGTCCAGGCACCCGCTGCTGCTGGGACACGGTACCCGATCGCGTCTCCTCTGCGTTCTGAGAACACCACGTTGGAACAGGCCCAGCAGAGGCAGGTGCAGGCTGGGGACGCAAGCGTTTCCTACTGTACGGCTCTAATGATCCGCATCGTACTGTCACTTCCTTACTGGAAACTTCCTTTCAACCAATGTGTCGGTCGTCATTTAATAGCTGGTGCCATTCCTGCTCCGCAGAGCTGCACAGCGGGTGGTCCCCAAGCCGAGTCCCCATCTCTGCCTCCCCCGTGCTGGGGCGACATGCTGAGTGCCCCGCTGCATGCTGGCTGACCTGGAAGGGAAGGGACAAAGCACGGTTTGAACCTCAGAACACAGAAAGCCCGAGACAGAAAGCCTGATGCACTCTGCCAATGGAAGGCCTCTTCATTTATTTATTTATTTTTTAAGATTTTATTATTTGACAGAGAGACACACAGCGAGAGCGGGAACACAAGCAGGGGGAGTGGGAGAGGGAGAAGGAGAAGGAGAAGCAGGCTTCCCGCCGAGCAGGGAGCCCGATGCGGGGCTCGATCCCAGGACCCCGGGATCATGAGAGCCGAAGGCAGACGCTGAACGACTGAGCCCCCCAGGCGCCCCAAGAAGCCTGTATATAATCTTCCTTCTCGAAGCTGCATCCTCTGGGGCTGGAAGTCCATCCCGAATCAGAAACTGTCATTTCTGCTCTGTGAGGACAGGCCCGGAGAAAATGCGACCCAAGAGGGATTTGGTGAGGATAAAGATGGGACAAAGATGGGGGCACCTCTGCCAGGATAACTGCGCTTTCTGCAACTGCTGCTGGGGTGCGGGGGGGGGGACGGGTGAGGAGAACAGAACGTTCTGAGACCTGCTGGGCAGAGTGGGGGGAAGAGCTGGGATCGAGGGCGTACCTTCAGGCACTGACCGTGTAACCACCCCTCCTTGGCTCTGCGCTCTGGGTCACATGTGCCAACTAAATCGCGAGCCGACGATCGGCTGTTCCGTAAAGCAGAGGCTGCCTGTAAGCGACAAAAACCCCAGCTTCCTACCTCTGGGGCCTCTGAGCGGTTTTCTTGTGTCATTAGGACACACTGCTCGTGTCACCGTACGGAAGCCGCAGAATGGCGCGCCGACTCGGCATGTCTGTGCTAGCTCTGCCGCCAGTTTCTTGCTTTCCTGTGACCCTTCCTCTTGTGCTCTGTGCCAAGCTGGACGTTATTTTCTAATGCGGTGAAACTGTCCATCAGCTCAAGAGGACTAGCGATGCAGAGTTTGGGGAAGAAGCATTTTCAAGATGATGGAAAGTGTGCAGTCAAGATTCACATTAAACAGCTAATTGCACAAACGCCCCGAGGCCTTTCTATGAACCTTTAGTATTGTTAGTGCAGGTTATTTGCATAGAGAAAGAGCCACCATGTCAGATTTCAGTAGAATTTAGTCTAATGAAAACCAAGTTCCAGAAGGGCTAACTCTGGTTCCAGATAAGATGGAGCAAATGCATTTCTCCTTATTCCTTCCACAAAGTGTCACTAGAATCCCCAAACATGATACATATGGCAAAGATAAGACTCTGGAGGGTGGGGAAAAGAAGGCGGACTGACTGCAGACCTTGGGAAATGAGGGACAACAGACCTGTGAGTTCCCTCGGTTTTCTTTCTGCCTCCCCCATATCCTGGAATAGACACCCAAGACGCCAGCAGGCCAGATGTGCAAATGGTCACCGACCAAAAAGCCCCAAGAAAAGCTCCTTATCTCTAGCCAAAGGACAGGGAAAGGGTCAGCCTAGAAGCCAGAAACGAAGCACCACACACACAACCCCCCCCCCTCCTGTCAGCAGAGGACTAGCGGGAAGCCAGGACTTCGAGAGTCCCACCCCCACCTGGCAGTAACCAGGGGTGCATCCCTTCCTCCACCAGCAGTGTCGCTGGAGGCCTGCTAAAAGAGAAGATCTAAATAAAATTCAGAGATTCAAATGTATCCCAAATATTCAGGACACCATTAAAAAAAATCACTTGTCAAACCAAGAACCAGGGAAATTTTGACTTGAATGAGAAAGGATAAGTGACAGAAGCCAACCCTGAAACAACACAGATTCTGAAATTATCCTCTCTCATCAGTATGCTTCTGTGAGCCATTAGGAACACACTTGGAACAAATTAAAAAATAGAAATTCTTGGCAAAGAAATATATATATATATATATATATATATATAAAAGAACCAAATGGAAATTTTAGAACTGTAAAGTACAATAACCAAAATTTTAAAACCTCACTGGATGGGTTCAATAGCAGAATAGAGATGACAGAGTAAAGAATTAGTGAATCTGAAAAGACAGCTATAGAAATTATCTGATATGAATAGCAGAGAGAAAATAGAGTGAAAAAGGATGAACAGAGCCTCGGGGACCTGTGGTACTACAATAACTGACCTATTCTCATTTCATCAGAGTTCCAAAAAGAGAAGGACAAGAGATTGAAGCTTAAAAAAGTACTCGAAGAAATATGGCTGAAAATTTCCCAAATTTGGCAAAAGATGTAAACCTACAGATTCAAGGGGCTGAGTGAAACACAAAGAAATCTACACCAGGATACAGCATAATCCAACTTCAGGGAAGACAAAGAAAAAAATCTTGAGAGCAACTAGAGAGAACTGAGGCATTACTTACAGAAACAAGGCTTTGAATGTCAGTGGATTTCATATCTGAAAACATGGAGGCCGGAGGAAGTGGCACAATACTTTGCAAGTGCTGAAAGAAAATAATTGCCAATGCAGAGTTCTATATTCCACGAGAATATCCTTCAGGAATGAAGGTGAAACAAAGACATTCTCAGATGAAGGAAAACTAAGAATGTGTTGCTAACACAACTGCTGTAGTACGAAGAACCACTATAGGAAGTTCTTCCAACAGAAAGGAAATGATAAAAGAAGGAAACAAAGTATCACAAATGAAGACAGAACAACAGAAAATAGGAGCAAATTTAACAGACTATCCTCTTGAGTTTAAAGAATTATATTTGATAGTTGAGGCAAAAATTATGACACTGTATGACGTAGTTCTCAACATATATAGAAAAAAAATACTAGAGAATTACAAAGGGGACAGGATAAAGGAACCTAAAGGGACATGAAGTTTGTATACTTCCACCTGAGGTAGTGAAATGTTGAGACCAGTAGATTGCGATTAGTTGCAAAAGCACTAAAATAAGCATACAAACAAAAATACCTTAAAATGCTGCAGGTAAAATGAAGTTCTTAAAATTATTCACAAAACTCATAGGAAAACACAAACAGGGAAATGGGAACAATAAACAGAGGGAACAAACAGAAATCAAGTTTTAAAAATAGCAAATTTAAGCCCTATAAGATCAATAGTCACATTAAATATAAATGGTCTAAATTCACAAATATACAAAAAGAGACCAGCAGAATGGCTTTAAAACATGACCCAACAAAATGCTGTCTACAAGAAATTCACTTCAAATACGATATAGGTGGGTTGAAAGTAAAAGGATGAAAAGAATGTGCCATATAAACATGAATTGAAAGGAGTTGGTGGTGTGAGTCCTGGACACTTGTCATGAAGGGGTCTAGTGAGCTACTGCCATATGCTAAGTCTGATGTCACCAACCAGCTTATAGGTCTGCAGTTGAAACTGGGCACGATTGTAAGCTCAGACAGTTGCAGATCACTAAGTGTCCTTATGTTGCAGTGATGCTAAAAGTGGCAGATCATTCAGGCCAAGTAAAGAACAAGTCCTTTGAAATGACAATTTCAGAATTTCTACAGGCAGTTCAAAGAAATTGCTACAATTATTCAAACTGTGTGAAAACTGATTGGTTGATAAATTGCTATCATTGTTCTAAAATCACGGGCTTCACCTTCTGCAACAAAACTGCATAAGGACCAAAGGATATTTACTGAATGAAAGTTGAATTTTGGTTTTTCCATTTTTTAAACAATAATCAGAAAAACAGGAATTAGTGGTGATCAATGCACAACTTTCTGAATGTACTAAAAGCCATTGAATCAAACACTTTAAAGGGTGAATTCTGTGGTATGTGAATTATATCTCAATAAAAAAATCAGGAAAAAAGGGCACCTGGGTGGCTCAGTCGGTTAAACATCTGACTCTTGATTTTGGTTCAGGTCATGATCTCAGGGTCATGAGCCTGAGCCCCTCATCAGGCTTTGTGCTGGGTGTGGAACCCGCTTAAGATTTTCTATCTCCCTCTTCCTCTGCCCCTCCCAAACCCTCATGCTCTCTCTCTCTCTCAAAATAATCAGAAAAAAGAAGAGCGGTTATATTAATATCAGATAAAATAAACATTGGAGCAAAGAAAATTACCAGGGACAACAAAGGAGAGTACATAATGGTAAAAAGGCTCAACCCACCAACAAGACATAGCAATCCAAAATGTCTACATATGCAGCAAACAACAGAACTTCCAATTTTCTGAAGCAAACCTGAAGGAACAGAAAGGAGAAGTAGACCTGTCCACATTTATACTTGGAAACTTTAATACCTCTCTCTCAACAATTAATAGAATTACTAGACAGAAAATTAACAGTGATAGAAGGAACTATATAATACCATCACCCAAACAAGACCGAACTGACATTTATACAACACTCAACCTAATAACAATAGAAACACGTTCATTTTTTAAAGATTTTATTTATTTGAGAGAGAGAGACACACACACAGAGAGAACATGAGCGGGGGGTGGGGCAGAGGGAGAAGCAGCCTGACATGGGGCTCGATCCCAGGACCCCAAGATCATGACCTGAGTTGAAGGCAGATGCTTAACTGACTGAACCACCCAGGCGCCCCGAGACACATTTTTTTTAAGCATGCATGGAACATTCACAGCACAGGCCATATCCTGGTTCGTAAAACAAACCTGAACAGATTTTGAAGAATTGAAATAATAATACAGAGTGTGTTCACTAATGATGGAGTCAAACTAAGAATCTATATCAGAAAGATAGCAGGAAATTCTCCAGATCCTTGGAAATTAAAGAACACACAGAATTCTAAATAATCCATGGAATATTAAACAACAATATATTGAATTAAAATGAATATGCAACATATCAAAATTTGTGAGACACAACCAAAGCAGTGCTGAGAGGGAAATTTATAGTATTAGATGCTGACACAAATGATGTATGGTCTCAAATCAGTAATCTAAACACCCACCTCCAGAAACTGGAAGAAGATAAGCACAAGTCAATCAGAGGGAAACAAGAGCAGAAATCAGTAAAATTGAAAACAGAAAAACAATAGAGAAAAATCATCAAAACAAAAAGTTGG